TGGTAACACAGCTATACAGCTTCTTATTCATTCATTCCTCCCACATCACATACACAGGCTGGTGGTGGTGGTATTCTTAGTGTGTGTTATAACGGTGTACTAGTCGGGTGATATATTGGCATTCTTTACATACCTTACTGCAGCTTCTTGGTGGTGGGTGTGGTGTGGTGTGGTGGGTGTGGTGTGGTGGGTGTGGTGTGGTGTGGTGGGTGTGTGTGGTGGTGTGGTGTGGTGTGGGCGTGCTGGGTGTGGTGTGTGTGGTGGGTGTGGTGTGGAACAGAAGGAAGAAAAGTGTTATAAACTGATTGTGGGAAAAACTTGTCTGTGCTTTAAGGAATAGTATGGGGGAGGAAGGGGAAGGGGAAGAGCAGGGAGGGGAACGAAGGAGAGAGAGAGAGAGAGGAAGGATTGTCATTTTTCCCTTTTCCTTCTCCCTTTCTCTCCTTCCTTCATCCTCGTCCTTCACTGCCTCCCTCCTCCCTCGTCCTTCATCCACCCACCCTCTCCCTCGCCCTTCATCCTCCCTCATCACCCACCTCATACTCCTCTCTCCCTTGCTCCCCAGTACCTGAGTTGTCACTGTTTATTTGTCGAGTGGGGGGGGAGGGGAGCTGCTCATGGCATTATCGATTAGATGAGTCTCTCTCTCTCTCTCTCCTCCTCTCCTCCTCTCTCTCTCTCTCTCCTCCTCTAGAGGAGGGATGATCAACACCGTGTTTAGGTTACATCACTGCGGATCACTTATAATAGTATACAGTATATCAGTGTTGTTATCACTATACCAGTAATGTTTTTATCACCTGAACACTACCCCATGTACAGGCGCGCGCGCTAGGGTGACTAATATTCAGGTGAAATATGTGCTGGTGATTATTATTATTATTATTGTTATTTTCATAGTGGTGAAGTTTCAACAGTATTAATTTTTCTCTGATGTAGGCATGATAATTTTTCCACCATATCAGCCAACCTCTTGTGACCACAAAAAATCATTTGATGGCAGCCCTGTTGCTGACTATGAATTATTATTATTACATTTTCGCCCCCCAGGCCCCGATGTGGGTCAGCTACCTGTGCTCGGGTGGGGTAATCCTGTTTAAAAAAAAAAGTTATGAAGGATGTCCCCTTCGTTCGTGAGTTGTGAGGTGACTAGAGGGGCCGATACGGGACCGACAGGGTCGTAGTATACGGTACGACACACACACACACACACACACACACACACGGATAAAAAAAACCATTCTACATTGATATTTTTATTTAGTGTTACTTCATGTTAAACCCTGTTCTGAAAAATGGGTTTATCAACAGTGCAACATTTGCTCTTACAGACTGCTAAGTACAGAAGACGGGCAGTGTTCGCCGAAGGTTTCAGAATATACAGTACATAAGAACAAGAAAAATAAGGAGTGCAATAGGCCGGTTGGCCTGTGCATGGCAGCTCCTGTCGAGAGTTACTACCACTCTCTATCATCCATGAATCTATCTAGCCTCCTTTTGAAACTATCCAGCGTTCCAACACTTACTACAAAGTTGGTAAGCTTGTTCCACTCGTTCACCACACTATTTGTGAACCAGTTCCTTCCTCAACCTACAGTAGTAGTGTAGTACATTACGACTGTATATGTTAGTGAGTATGGAGGGTGCCTGGTTAAGAGTGAGGCACACGACCCGCTGCACGCCATATTGTTAAGTCACTTTATTAGTTTTTTGTTCATGTTGTTGGAATGTATCAAGTTGTACTTTATATAAGACACACTTGGTCTCCCTCGCTCTCGTTCTTCTAGGAAATGTTGACGTTTTGTTTTTTAAAGTTGTATTATACACGTTGTACCGTAGGTGGGGGAGAGAAGACCAGTTTCTCGCTCCCTCCAGACGCAGTCCACGTGACTCACTCAGCTGCCGCCATCCCATTGAATAATATTGGCATGACGTCACGCCTCCCCTCTCTCAAGTTATTACTCCACTCACGGAATGTTTGGACCAATATGTTTCTGGCAAAGTTATTTATATTTTTCGAGTTCATTGTTTAGCTTAACATTTACTTTTGAGATTTAAACGATAGAAATCAACCATAAATATAATTGACTACGTTAATGTGTGTGGCCGGCATCATACTTTTGACGGGAAATATGACGTATTGGTACAGTACATTACATTAATGCCTTATAAGACAAACCAAGGTACAGTGGATATGACTCCACTTAGACAATATTACTTGACATACATTGGGCTACAGGTTAGTTGTAAGATATTTGATCTACTAAGAATTACAGTACAGTATTGCCTTTTCCCCATCAAGTTTCTCGGCTGGTACTGTACCGGTGCAGAAATACTGTACCACCTATCTCATATTTAATCACTGGTTTAGGTTTTTATTTAGTTCGTTATTTACCGTTTTTAACAGTTAATGAAAATATGAAGATAATGGTAAGATTACACGCCAGGATCAGGCCTTAAAAAAACCCCTACAATAGCCGGACACAGCATCGTCCCTCCCTTGTTTACTGCCTGTGTTTTTATTTTGGTTAGGTTAGGTTACGACCACCATTTGTGTTGTTCTTGTACCACCTTATATTGGATGTGCAGTAAACAGTGTTGGTAGTGTATGGTTACCACTGGGATCTGAGGCCCCACTACAACTCGCTACAGTCTAGGATAATGTACAGTGCAGTACACGAGGTATAATGCACAGTACAGTACACGAGGAATAATGTACAGTACAGTACACGAGGAATAATGCACAGTACAGTACAAGAGGAATAATGTACAGTACAGTACACTACACGAAGGTATCACATCTGTGAGCTGTTATGCCCTCGTTTAGATATGTTAACTTAATGCCATGTGTACTGTACACTTTTGTCTGTTTTACTAGTCGTTGGTGAAAGCTCGCCGGTACTGTACTGTCCTGCAGCGAGGAAACGACTGTACTGTACTGTACTGTACTGCAGTTCGGCCTTGTATACTGTCCACACCCCCGAGGCTCGAATATGTTTATGCCACCGTCTTGTCTTGTCTGTCAAGAGTGTTTGTGCGATATTTTGTGTTACAGTGAATGAGTGTCGACCAAGCTATGTACACAAGTTTGTTATCGCTTGAGAAAGATAAGATAAGAAAAGACATGATTTTACGATTATTACAGTTGGTGTCAGGCCAAGGTCGCGTCGCGTGTTGGAAAACGGGTTTCTTCTTGAGACGTCTCTTGTTGTGCGGTGTTTGGTGTTGGCTCTCGGGTGTGTCTTGTGTAAAGTTATTATAAAAAAAATAATGTTCCTTGTTATTACACCCAAAATGTTCATCAAACATTCCCTCTAAACACTGTATATATATATATATATATATATATATATATATATATATATATATATATGTGGTTAATAGGAAATATTCATTTCGTGTTTCTCACCAAGAGAGATTGTCATAACACCTGTGAGGCTTACTGTACTCATGACAAGTACAGTACAGTATTTGGCAGAGAACTAATTAGATTAAAATATTTGGCTGCGTTGTTGGGCCTTAGTGCGAGATCTCCTACATGTATGTGAGCCTCACAAAGAGAAATTTGACAACTGGCCACATACTGTACAGTATACTGCGCTACAAGACAACCCAGTGGTCAGCCTCCCTGCCTGGCCAAGCTTAGTTGTGTCGGCCCGAGTCTATAGTGTGCAGTAGTGGTTATATGTGGTGAGGGTTAGTGTAGGAAGGTGGGTGACTATGGCCAGCCAGGGTGACTCACCAGGAGGTTCAAGGTTACTAGTATGGTCCACTGAGTTATGTGTTGACTTAGTAACGGGGTCTCCTGTCTTCCGTGTGGCCTCCGTCAAGTTGTACTGTAGGCTACTGACATATGCATAATGCTGGTTCTTGTTGGCTCACCAGGTTGTTGGTTGCAGGTTATCGCCCACCAACTACATCCTGTTCTGATATTTTGAACAAAATGCAATTTTGGGCCGAAACGGTAAGCCTAATAATGCCTTAAGTATTTCGAGCGAAATATACTTTTCTCTCGGAATTGGAATTTAAGGGGTTTAACTAATTAAGTACAGTACTTCCAGAATAACACAAAAAACATCAAAGTCGCACCACGGAAACCCATAGTTTGCTAATAATTAGCATTGAAAAAATGTCATTAAAATCTCGACCACTAATTGCCCCACAATCGAATCGTGGACCATACCCCCCCCCCGATGTGGGATCAGGGACCTGTGCCCGGGTGGGCTAGTGCACGTATAAAGGATTCTGAACCAGCCAGCATGGTTAGGAGTACCATACTGTGGCCCTCTACTAGTCCTGTGCCCGAGTGTTGGTCTTGTAATGTGAAAGCTAAGGGACACCCGCCTCGTTAAGTACTGTACTTAGGTTTTGTTTGTATCACTCATCTTTATCACTGCCAATGTTGTTATTATTATCAACTCTGTATATGTATTTTTCTGGCTAAATAAACTGTTTCAATACCCACTATCACCCATCATCATCCACCTATCATTACAACACCTACTGATCATAAGAAATAAGATGTTATGTAACCTTCATCTGTAGAAACATTTACTGCTAACACACTGATACTGTAGAGAGAGATAAAAGGTTTGTTTGTCGTGCACACAAATACTGTACAGTACTGTCAGCTGGATGGTGTCTGGTCATGACACTTTAATTTTCATCAAAAATAAATATTTATACCTACAGTAAATCAGTTTATTTTGAATTCTGAAATGGAAAGATAAATATTTTCACTATTTATAAACAGTATTAGTGACGAATATAAAACAAATGTAACACGATTACATATGTGTATCTTATATTGATTCAGGAAAATGTGGTCAGTACGGTGTATAAGGATCTAAAGGTATACTGTATTTGTAAGTCGTGTTGTATATACTGTACTGTGCTGTGCTGTATTGTACTGTATTGTACTGTACTGTATTGTACTGTACTGTATTGTATTGTATTGTATTGTATTGTATTGAGTTCTAAGTTGATCTCTCTTGTTTCAGGAACAAACATATCGACGGGCGAGGAGGTAGCCATTAAATTAGAATGCATCAAAACCAAACATCCACAGTTACACATAGAGTCCAAGTTTTATAAGGTAAGCCAGTTACTGTTGTGTCTGTCAGGTTTTGTTGGGTCACTTGGTAACAAGTGTGTTAAAGAGCTGAACTAGAGTGCTTGCAAGACATGCATAGAGGAATGGTGGACATCAGTGCTTGTAAAACATGCGAGAAGACGAGTTGAACATTGACTGCTAATAAAAGGACTTTTATTGTACAAGTTTGTGGACGTGATGTATGTTCTGTACTGTAGTTCCTCGCTGCCTGTACCTCAACTGTGTGTGTATAAGGATAATTTGCGTGTTTCATAGTCTTTTGGACTTGTAATTTTTATTTCATCAACTGCCTCCTCCTGTACAGAAGATCCTTGGCGAGTTTTTTAGATAATTATGGAAAGCCTTTACTAGACCATTAATAACTAGTGATTTAGGTTTTGTGTAGTGTGTAGCTAGTGTGGTTTGCTTACCCAATTGCTGTTACATGATACTGTGTACTGTGGTCAGCCATTACAACCCCGTGTGTTTACACACACACAAAATAATTTTTTATTTTTATTTTATTTTGACACATTAACAGTGATAGAAGTGAAGTGTTGGTACAGTATATGACCATGACATTAATAATTACAGTACAAGGTATTTAGGATGTATGGTATTCTTTTTTCAATAATTTCCATATAATTTGTGATGAAAAGCTTAATACAGCCTGTGTACAGTATATATTTAATGACCACCAAAACAGCACCCGTCTTACCCCCCTAACTCCCCCAACTCCCTCAAAGATGAAATAATAATGAAAAACTCATTTGCCTATCAGTATTTATCTTTCCGTTCCTATTATTAGCCAGAGATTTATAATATTGTTAAGTATAATAGTGTGTAATAATAAGGAAACACCACTACACCATTAACCCCCCCAACGTAATTAACATATGAATACAAAGGTGGAGAAAGTTTGCATAATTTTGGGTAAAAACAGTATTATGACAATAGTATTACAATCTTACTTTGTTTAGTTCCTGCGTTGTATTATCCCTGAAGATCGTAGCCTTGAAGTTACGTAAATCCTGAGGAGTGTGTATAACTTTAATGGCCTTGTCATAATCAATCGCGAACTGATCAAAGTCTTTCTCTGCCCTCGCTAAAAATCGCCACACAGATTCTTCATCAACTAAATCATTGATGCCGGCAACAGTTCAGTTTCATTATAAGACTGAGGTATGGGCTCACTTTCACTCATTCGTTGGGTCAGGCTCACTTTCACTCGTTCGTTGGGTCAGGCTCACTTTCACTCGTTCGTTGGGTCAGGCTCACTTTCACTATCATTCGTTGGGTCAGGCTCACTTTCACTATCATTCGTTGGGTCAGGCTCACTTTCACTATCATTCGTTGGGTCAGGCTCACTTTCACTTTCACTCATCGTTGGGTCAGGCCCACTTTCACTATCATCTTGGCTCACTCCACTCATTCGTTGGGTCAGGCTCACTTTCACTATCATTCGTTGGGTCAGGCTCACTTTCACTATCATTGTTGGGTCAGGCTCACTTTCACTCATTCGTTGGGTCAGGCTCACTTTCACTATCATTTGTTGGGTCAGGCTCACTTTCACTATCATTCGTTGGGTCAGGCTCACTTTCACTATCATTCGTTGGGTCAGGCTCACTTTCACCATCATCTGTTGGGTCAGGCTCACTTTCACTATCATTCCAGGCTCACTTTCACTATCATTCGTTGGGTCAGGCTCACTTTCACTCATTCGTTGGGTCAGGCCACTTTCACTCATTTGGGTCAGGGCCACTTTCACTCATCATCATTTCACCATCATTCGTTGGGTCAGGCTCACTTGTTCAGGGGGCTCACTCATTCACTACTCATCATCGTTCAGGGTCACTTTTTCACTATCATTCGTTGGGTCAGGCTCACTTTCACTATCATTCGTTGGGTCAGGCTCACTTTCACTATCATTCGTTGGGTCAGGCTCACTTTCTATCATTCGTTGGGTCAGGCTCACTTTCACTATCATTCGTTGGGTCAGGCTCACTTTCATTCGCTGGGTCAGGCTCACTTTCATTCGCTGGGTCAGGCTCACTTTCATCACTCTCAAGGTCAATGCATGTCTCGTTACTGTCCACTTCTACCTCCTTGCAGTCTGTATGTTGTTGTGATACATTAGACTCACTTTCATCATTTCTTCTTCACTTTCATCGTCATTATTGCCGTCACTGCATGTCACACAATTCTGTACCGGATCACTGTCTGCAAAAAGGTCTTGTGATGCGTAGCAGTCACTTTTTGTATTATGAGTACACTCAGTTTCATCTATTTCAAGCTCACTTTCACCGTCATTATCATCGTCAATGCGTGCCACATTGTCTTTTAACTCTTCATAGTCGGCAAAAAGATCTTTGGGTGCTTTGTAGCGTGCTAAAAAGTTATTCTGTGCGTTCAAAGTGTTATTGTCATTATGATAATCACTTTCATCATGCTGTGAGTCACTTTCATTGTCAACAGGTAAGTCATCATAGTCTCTAAAAAGATCTTCCGATGGTTCATAACGTGATGTCTGTTTTTTTTCTGCAATCATTTTCATCCTGTTGTGGCTCATGATCATTATCATCATCATATTCTATGTTTTATCACTGTCGCATTGAGTTTGTACAAGCGAATGTCTCACAAACCTATGTTTTTTAAAGGGAATGTATGAAGCAGCATGTGCGTCACTTTCCTGTACGAAGTCGCGTTTAAGGTACTAGGTTGACTGCCAGACATTGCAATGGAAGGTACAGTAATGTCAAAGAAAGTTAACTCGAGTGAGGCCCGGCCTCACTCGAGTCTTGCTCTAATATTGGTCAGATATTGCACAGCACTTCTCACACCCGTGGAACACGAATAACGTCAATGTTACGCCAAAAAGTTCTCATAAATAGCAGTAGAATGTATACTGAACTTCCTGATGCTAAAATACACGCCAAAACTAAGGAGGAGGCAGCATCTGGGTGCGCGGTTTGGCCGAGGAGCTGTGACATAGCAAGGGGAAGGGGAAATCCATTGCGATTGTCTGCCTCAGGGGGTATGGTCCGAGGGAGGAGCGCTGCCATTGGCTAGAGCTCCTCTCACTCTGAACGGAATGTTGCCACTTTCTGGAACTGAGCACACAGCCAGATACGTAGCTCCAGACTTGAGGCGAAATCACACCTTCTTTTTGAAGGACTTTCTACCATATTGCTATTCTAGCTAGAGGGTTACATCCAATGCCAACATGTAGAGGAAGGCTGAAAATAGTGATATCCATCAAAAAACTCATTTTGGCCGGGGTGTCGCTTCACCCCCTTCTGACTCGAAGCTCCTGATATGAGTAATGGCAAATGAAGGGCTAGTTTGCATCTGCTCCTCAATCTGACCACCCAGCATTAACAATATTGTAGTAGGAAGAGGCTGTAATGGGCAGGGAAAATAAAGCTATAAGTTTGTCACTGTGGCTTGTGGGTGTTTTCAGTAAGTAAGACAGAAGGAATGGCTTTTCTACTGTTGACAGGTTTGGGTAATTTTTTCTATAGTTCAGGTCAAGTCTCAAGATAAACTGAGCTTGGACTGTGTTTCACATCAGACGAAACAGCATTTATTCTTGAACTGTGTGACCATATACATTACTGTACTGTAGTTTTATTTGTGTTGTGTTTCAGATGATGGCAGGTGGTGTAGGTATTCCAGGAATCAAGTGGTGTGGCTCTGAAGGCGACTACAACGTTATGGTTATGGAGCTGTTAGGGCCGTCCTTAGAAGACCTCTTCAACTTCTGTTCTAGAAAGTTTTCTCTTAAGACAGTTCTCCTCCTGGCAGATCAACTTGTGAGTGATGCTCCTTCTAGTAAAGTACTGTACAGTACAGTAGTACATTATATGTTAATCTGACAACAAAACCAGGAAGGAAAAACTTATATTAATTGGCTGTAATATTGCATTCAAGAAATTACATTATTGGATTTATGAAAGACCCATCTCTTAGTTTAAATTACATTGTACTCTACAGTATAAGTTCTTTAATTTGTACTATATACTGTATAGTTGTTACCACAATTCTGTCAATACTTGGTAATATCTGGCATCTACTGAGTGTTTGGCTTATAGCTGATGACTGATGGCTTTTATGTTAGAATAACTTAATACAACAATAATATTAAGATATAATAGATGTTATTCTCCCTGAGCTGTGTTAATGTTGTCATCTGGATCTCTACCTTATGTACAGTCTACTTATTTACTTTAGTATGGCAGTAAAGAAGGTTCTTTTTGTCCTTAAAGACATTAACTTCATTTTGCATAGTCTTGTAAATCTTCTCCTTGAAAAAAAAATTCTCAGCTGGTGGTGTTCCTGAAGCTGTAACATCAAGTTTTACTTTTATCGGATGAGTTATAAACAAGGAAATTTTTATACTGTAATAATCTAAATAAGTTTAAAATTAAATAAATAGTTATTTTTTTCATTGTGCTTATGTCATACAGTACACATGCATTTGTGAAGTTTAATTTAGTTGTGGTGTTGCATTACTTTAGTACTACTAGTACAGTGTTTGGCTTCTGCAAGTTGAAGATTTGTGGAAGTACTGTACCTTTGGCTACTACAGTACTGTACTTGTTGTCTTAGCCCTTTCCTATTTCTTTCTACACTGTAATATACTGTTCTTCCCTATGTCTCAAGAGTTCCCTCATTTCTTTGGGGTGTCTGTACAGTACTGTCTTATCCACCACATACTGTACTGTGCAGTAAAGACAAGTGACAGGTTAAAAGGAGATCTATTTAATTTAACAGCTGAGGCAGTAATTTGGGGCCATTAAAAGTTTCACATTGTGTTATATTTGTGTGTGACTCTAGAGCATCTGTTTTTGTTGCAGATAACCAGGATAGAATATATCCATAGCAAGAATTTCATCCACCGAGACATAAAGCCAGACAACTTCCTCATGGGCTTGGGAAAAAAGGGAAATCTTGTGTATATCATAGACTTTGGTCTAGCAAAAAAGTACAGAGACTCTCGCACACATCAACACATACCATATCGGGAAAACAAAAATTTAACTGGTACTGCACGTTATGCCTCGGTTAACACTCATCTTGGTATTGGTAAGTACAGCACTGTCTACATGGCTTCATTTATATGACTGGGTTAGATGTTTATTAATATCATTGTTATCCATACCTACTAAAGCTCTACTTATCTCCTTGTGGGTGTTGGTTCTGTTTACTGAAGTATGTGAACACAGTATCCAATAATATGGTCTGTGCTGCTGATTAAAATATTATTGGAGAAATTCATTTTGTTAATATAAAAGAGCTTTATTGAGTCAATTCTTTGACAGCACACTTGGAGGTTGTTAGCAGCCATGGTAGCCTTAGCAGGCATTGTCCTTTTGGTGACCATAATGTACTGTAGGGGATAAAAGCTGCCAAACTACTTAGCCTCACTTCTGTTTTTGCTGTTGTGGCCTGTAATGAACTTCATGGTCTGTAGTGGAGGGATACTCTATAAAGATTGAATTAATGAATAAATTTAAAGAATCTTTTCATATTTTGGTTGTTGATGCAGGGATTGGACTTGGGTGTTGCACTTGGTGAATCATGTTTAGTAATGTAATTAATGGAACTGTGGTCAAATGAACCCAATTCCTAAAACAGTACAGTTAGCCTCAATATTAGCTAACCATTAAGACTTGAGTCTATTATGGCTTGTAGCCACCCATTTATACAGTCACCCAGTAACTGCTGGGAGTTTGTTGTTACCTGTACTGTACTGCAAGTTTTTCACTACACTAAAGAACAATCATTTACAAGTAATTACTTGAGTGCCATTGGCTAATTGGCTTATCTTCTACAGACGTGCAGGTACAGTACAGTGGGTGCGAGGGGCAGGAGAGGTGATGTAGTTGGTGTAGAGCTAAGGAGATGCAGTAACTTACAGGGTATTTTCTCCCCAACTTGTTACTTCAGTAATACAATACCTGTACTAGGTAACTTGGGGCAAGTTTCTCTAAAACACTAGTATATGTCATAACATTTTTCTTGGGGTCCGTTCCTTAAACAGTTTACAAGTGTTGTATTTCCAAGTTTATCTTATTCATATTTCGTGGAAGAAGTTTGGTTTATTTACCATCTCTCCTTTTTCTAACCTTCCATATCAGACTTTTTGCTGCCTGTGTTTGAAGTGATGTTAACATGCTGTGAACTGACTATAGATCATGAGAGTAGATGCTACAAAATACTGTACAGTATTAAGGAAGTTGGGAGGCATTATTTATTTGTTAGGAAAATCAGGTTTAAATTCCCAATGCTTTACATGTCAAAAATTTTATAGTGAATTTCTGGTGAAGAGACAAGAGTGAATATAGTTCATTGAGATCTTCTGAGGAAATGGCATAAGTAAAATAAAAAAAAAATAGTCGTTTAAAGTATTAAGAGGTAACAGGTATTGAAAGTGTTACTATTTTTATTTGAACACTATGGGTGACTTGATAATGGGGAGAACAAAGTTGAGGAAGAAGATTGAGAGGTAATCCTTTTGTGGAGGTTGTAAGAGTACCGTACTGCAGTGCACTTTGATGTGAGAAACATTTAATGACAGATAAAAGGTTAGGATTTGACACAACTATTTGCATAAGGCAAAAGGCTATGTCTGCTGATTAATAGTACAATACTGTACTATACATTGGCAGTAGTTGGGGATAAGTTAAGTTTCATTTGTTTTAAAGGTAAGTGTGAGTGTTTTAAATAATAATGTGGATTAATATTGTATTCTTATTTATATATCTGCAGAACAAAGCAGAAGGGATGACTTAGAAAGCCTAGGGTATGTGTTGATGTACTTCAACAGAGGATCTCTTCCCTGGCAAGGACTTAAAGCTGCTACCAAAAGGCAAAAATATGAAAGAATCAGTGAAAAAAAGATGCAGACACCTATTGAGGAGCTCTGCAAAGGATTTCCTAGTGAGTACAGAACAGATAGTTGCTCTACAATGTTTAAGGTCAAGTTGACAAGTTTTTAGCTTAAAACATTCACCTTTACAAATGTCCCATTATTTACAACATGTATGTATAATAATAATAATACTGTACTGTAAACATAATTAATGGGTTATTTAGAGAAAACAGCAGCCAAGGGCTGGAAATACACAATGGACATGGTAACATCAGGAGGGTGGGGGTCATTTATAAAAAGTATTATTACAAAAAAAGAAGGAAACATGAGGTGAACATACAAGTTACAGAAACTACAGTAGGGTGACTGGTCTTTTAGTCATAATGCAGCTGTGGTGCTCGACAGCTGCACGTGGATGGGATTGGCTCCAAGATGGAGGTGGCAGCTGTGTCCTCTAACTGATAACTGGAGACATGAAGATCAGAGGGAGGTGAGAGGGCCAGTGTGCTGAGTGCCTCTTGATTGGTGGTTTATAATAACACTATGGCTCTGTCATCCAGGGATCCATTGTCACGTGGTACAGCATTTTGCTGGACTATTCATATCATGGTGTTCTGAGACCTCACTTGTAGGATGAAGGTGATCCATGGTGGTTCCCGTGTGGTCTGGTCTTGTTAGCAGGGGCAGGGTCTCTCTTTCACATACTCTATGGGTATGAAGTGTTGGCAACAACTCTTGTTTACCACCGGGCCTTCCCTCATGGCTGCATATGTAATGTTGCTTTATTTATGAAAGTGGCCCATGCAGATTATCTTGTAGACAGATTGATGGTCCTACTTGTGTCTTTACTTACATCAATATCATATGTTAATGATTAGTAATTTGGGTAAAATGTTCAAAATCCTGGATTTAAAGCTCAGCCATGGCAGTTCCTTTATGAGCAAGGAGCTGCCACACTCTCCTACATATCTCAGTTTTGAATGGGGATGAATTTTTCTTGGGGACTTTGGCCTTGAGTTTCTTTGGCTCTGAAGCTCAAAGGTTTACAGTATGTATTCATGGTGGTGGAGGTTGTTTCTGTGCACTTGACCCATTCGTCTCTATTTATTGGCTATTTTCAGGCTTTAGCTGCTTTTTTCGGTCATTGAACTATATATAAATTATTATTACTTATGAACTGGATTGTACTAAGGTGTACTGTACTTGTAACGAATGTACAGTATAACGACTATATATGAGTTAGTCTGCCAAGTGTGAGTCACAATGAGGGGATGCACCTCATTCAGTACTCTTTGATCGTTCCAGCAGGAGGTCGCCATCACTTAATCATATTTTTATCCCTTGTATTTTGTATTTTAAATAGTTTAAGTTTATATGTCTACCAGGAACATTTTGTGGATAGTGTAGAAGACATTACAGTTGTACTGTCATGGTATATAATGCCCTATGAGACTAGTTTATCAGTTCTTTGTAACATAACGAGTCTAGATTTGTTATTAATTATATTATTTTACAGATGAGTTTGCGACGTACCTGAATTTCTGCCGGTCTCTGCGGTTTGAGGAAAAGCCAGACTACAGTTACCTGAGGCAACTCTTCCGCCAGCTCTTCCATCGTCAGGGCTTTACCTATGACTATGTCTTTGACTGGAATATGCTCAAATTTGTAAGTAACCTTGATGGCTTATTTGTTATGTATGAGTAATTTCAGCAAGTTTTTGGCCAAATTCTGTTGGTGTTACAGGGGAGCAGTTGGCCTTGGGTGTGTGTGGCTGGTGATCCCACCCATTGTAAATTTGTTACCAAAAGTGAACAAGCAAAAAAAAATGCAGGCTGTTTTAATGTATGAAGAAGTAATGTGTATGAAGAGAAAAGAGTGTGTGACAAGTATTGATGAATGAAAGGAATCTGGATGTCCTGGTTGTAGCAGAATAAGTTGATTATTAAAGAGATATTGTACAGTATCTCCTGGGTTGAGAAATGGGCAGCATAGTGCCAGGATTGTGTGAAGGGATAAGAGCAAAAAAGGTTTTATAGGTACCAATGAACTAGAGAGTTTCAAGATGGTATATAAAGGGGTTAGTCTTATGAGATTATGGCTCAGTGAGGGATGGGTAGTTGTGGGTGTACAGTGCAGTGTACACCTCAAGGGGTGAGAAGAAGCTGCTGGAAGATGAAGTTTTGAGAATACTTTAATAACAATTTTGAAAACTTTAGTGTAAAAAATAATGATACAAGATTTAGATGCAAGATTAAGTAATAGGGAAGTAGAGAATAAATATGAATTTTGGGGGAATGAAATGAAATAGAGAGAGACTGGTGGAAGTGTGTGTGCAGAGGGAGAAGTAATAATAGTGATTTTTTGCCCCTCCTTGCGAGCGATTTCCTGCTTTGCCGCAGGGCGGCCAGAATCAAGAGCACAACAGCAAAAACAGACTCACCTTTCACTTGTCTTCATCCATTCACTCTAACTATTCTGACACACACAAACAAACACACTATCCTTTGCCATACTTTCCTATCATTTATTTGCTCTACTATTGGCTGGATGTGTGTCCCCCTTTTCGTGCTTTCTTCATGTCATTCCTCCTTTCTATCATCAGCTTCCGAATTACACATACGTATATATATATTTTTTACTAATCTTTCACATTCCATTCTCTCAGTAAGACGACACCATCTTAAAACTGTTTCACACTTCTATCATATTCACATCTTCAAATTTCTGTGCTTGTTGCCCTATCCTTTCTCTATAGTGCACCTGATTTAAGAGATGAAAATTTGTTGGATTTTGTGTCACTGGATAAATGAACAAGAGAAGGGATATAAACATAGTACCAGACTATCACTGTACAACATGTGGGAGTGCTGAGATTTTAATAAATGGAAGATTCACGGTGAAAGATTCAAGGAAGTGAAAAAGGTTAAAAGAATTGACAAGTGGAGGAAAGTGAACACAGCTGAAAGATTTTAAGAACTGATAGCAATAAAGGTGTCATGTGAGAAGAGGAATGGGGCAGTTTTAGAAAGTGCAGCTAAGGTGTGTACTGTACTGTAGGGTAGTTAGAGAGGAGTGGTGCAACTTTGGGAAATACTGATATGACATGCATATGGGAGGTGAATTACCACCTGTTTGCTGGTAACACTGCATAAGTGAGTGACTAGAGAAAATTTACAAATGGAAGCGATTGAGTCAAGGAGAATGTACAGTACAGTGGACTCACAACTTACGCGGGGGTTACGTTCCTGGGACCCCGTGTAAAGGCAGAAACGCTCCTAAAAATACCCTAAATAGCCCTTAAATCATTATACATACGTACATATATGCTAGAACTCATAAATCACTACTGTAATGTAACATCAACTTCTGTAACAAGTGCATAACAGCATTAATAGAACACAGACATTGTGTAGACAGACATGTGTTATTGTTTTGAGTTTATTCATCCCCTTCCCACGTTACCGTGGGGGGATCATCGAGCTCAGATAACAATGCACGGGAGGATGTGGGCAGCTCAAGGTCACTGCGGGAATTTTGAGAGAGGTTTGAGCGCACTAAAGTGACACACGTGAGAGGCAGCTGTTAATTCGACGATACAATCGCGGTAACTGAGACAGACAAAGGTGGGATGGTGGTGTTGGGTGGGCTTGCGACCCATTTTGAAAGTTTGGAGATTGTAACCGAACCTCTGGGGTGATCCGCGTATAGTTGAAACCGCGTAAGAAAAGTCCGCGTAAGTTGATAGTTTACTGTACTAGGAATTATTTAATTAGTAAATGTGAAAACAAAACTGAAAATAAGATGAGAATGGAACTGGAGAAGTTATAATTGGATAAGAATGAAGATAGAATGGGAGAAGTGAGATGTTTTAAGATTCATGGGAATAGGAACACCGAATGATGAATTGAATCGGAGTTGAAAAGGGAAAGGAAGTAATGTATGGAGAGAGTGAGAGAGGAGGGACCCATTGAATTACTCTGGATGTGAAGCATGGACGCTAAAGGAAGAAGCATATTAGAAGTGACAATGACGTACTTCAAGACAGTGTTTGAACCAAGTGCAGAGAATTATATACTACACAGTCGGGAGGAGATGGGGAAGGGAAAGGCTTGTTGGATGGATGGTGATCAAGCATTGTTAAGGACTTACTGAAAGATTGGGGGAAAAAGTTTGATTCAGAATGAGATGGTAGAAGGAAAAGGAGAAGACCAAAGAATAGATGGAAAGATGAGATTGATGATTTGTTAGAAGTAGGGGGAATGGACTTTGAGGAAGCAGAGGGGTGTGTGTGTATGTACTTGTGAGAGAGAGAGAGAGAGAGAGAGAGAGAGAGAGAGAGAGAGAGAGAGAGAGAGACTATTATCAAGTGTTTTTTGTTTTGTTTTTAGAGACGGATTTGGTGCTAATGGATGACGATGCTACTAGTACATTGTGTGGAACAAGAGATAACCCAGTTACAGTACAGTAGTAGATATAATGAGGCCTTGTTGTGGAAAGAGAATCCCACTGCAAAACACATTCACTAAAACAGTAAGAAAGAATAAATGAAAGTAAATACTGTACAGGAGGCAGTACAGTACTTGTGTTTTCTCTTGATTCTAGTCACCCAGATATAAAGTGTGAAAAGCTTTAAAGAAAAATAAAATGATAGTAACTGAATCATGTAAAACAGTGGTTCATATACTATGTTCAACTGGGTGGCAAGACCATTATTGTCACCAAGGCTACAAACACTTCACTTTAGACTTCATTTTGGTAGTGACCTCTGTACACACACACACACACACACACACACACACACACACACACACACACACACACATTGTGTTTCTCAGTTGTTTATGGGTCACAGTCTTCAATGGAAAAGCCTGTTGCTGCTGAAGTTCTGAAAGTCCTCCTGCCATTAACGACCATGTACTGTTGTGAGGCAGGATTTTCAACATTAGTGCAGTGCAGTACTGACAAAGATGAGGCTTTGAAAGAGGTTCCACCTGATCATGATCTGTGTTGCAACATCTCTGCCATAGCATCACTGCCACAGCATCTCTCTCTGAAGACCTGCTGACTAAGACAAAACAAAGTCACTATCTCATCAGCATGAATTACATTATTTACATGATACTGTAGATGACAGGAGTAATGGGAATGTTTTTTCCTTTTCGCCTGTTAACTGATTACAGTCAACTGTCACTTTCAATGATAATGATATTTTTTTTATTGGAGTTGACCATTGCATCCAAATGGGGCGATAGTAGAAGCACATTGGGAGCAACATTAATGCTGTACTGTACTTGAGAGCAGTACTGTATGTGGGGTAAATAATATGCAGAGAGTAAGTAGATGGATGTGTGGGAATGAAAGAAATGTCAGGCATGCTAAGGTGTTAATGGTGTTTTCTCGGAGAAAGTATGAACTTTGGCAACAAGGTTGATATCAACTTTAGTAGAAACATTGGGATTTACTTTAATGCTTTTCTTTATTCTCTGTGTCCTTGGGTAGACTCCACTTACTTGTAATCATGAAATAGTTTTTTTTTTTTTTTAGGGTTAAATATATGTCTGCCTTCATGTCTGCAGGGTGGTTCACGAAATCAAGAAAATGAGGTAGAACGAAGAGATCGTCAGAGCCACAAACCCCAAGCCACAGGTGCCACGTCCCGGATACGGCACGACACTACCGTCGGGGGTGTTTTGCCCTCCCCAACAGCGGGTGAGTTGCAAGCCCCCCCAACACCCCCTGCCGGCTCTGCCCTTCCACTCCCCGGTCATCACACCCCCTCCTTGCGTGACCTGGAGCCCTTGAGGCCCATGCTGCTCAAGACCTCGTGGGTCCCCAGGTCACGCCCAGTCACCAATCGCAATGGCTGCCTTGATTAAGTGACTCCCCGATGCACCTCTGTCATCAACACACCAATCTGATCGCTCTTTGTTATCATCATTTCCACATTTCTGAAATCACTTGCTTCATCTCCCCTTATAACTTCAGAACCTGTTAATTCATTTTTTCCTAATCTAATCTTCCTTCATCTCTGATACTAAAAATATGCATTTCCACTAGAATTACTAACTTCATTTGCTTCTACCTAATTTATACTGTACGTAGATTTTGGTATTCATAACCTTTGTCGCTTCTTGTAGGTTTCTGTTTTTATTCATGCCAAGTGAAATGAAATCATGTTTTACTTTGTTTGTATTACTATTTACCAAAATTTTATTGGCACGAGGGCTAATGTTAAGGGCCATCACTGTACTTTTGGCTCAAGTCTTCCTACTATCATCAGATATAGAACTTTCTTTAAACTTAATGTATGTAGCTTAGTGTGTGACACAGTAATGTAGTGAAACCCGTTGGTAGTTATTCAATAAAGCTCATTTTTTTTTTACAACCTTAGGAAATGTGCCATATTGGATCTTCTTGAGAGGTGTTCAGTAAAGGTCAATTTCCTATTTTACAGATGGAGGAAATGTGCTATATTGGATGTCTTAATGACTATTAACTGACAATGTCACATGCTGAGCAGATATCTTTCCCTAGTTAGATAATCTTACATTTTGCTCTCCCCCTTACAGGGAAACCACTTGTTATTTGAACCCCAAGGAACCAATAACCATTCAATACTCCTGGAAATCAGTTGATAGCAATTAACAACTATAGGTTATTGTAGTACCAAGAATGTTCACCTGGACTTCAGAAAAGCCGTCTTTCAGTTCAGAAACCTTTCAAGACCAAATCTTCATGTAAGCTGCACTGAATATTATGCACTGATAGCAACTTCACTGCTCCTTGTAAGCACCTTTGTATTTTATGGTTTTGAAATACAATTGATGTAGCTATTGATGGCAGGTTAAAGATGAAGATATTATTTGATATTTCACCTAGAGTGATTCTTGGACTGCAAACTTTTTTGTAAATATTCGTTGCCTTTTGTGTTGTATATAAATTAAAAGTAAACTTCATATTTCTGCTGTATTTTTTATTTAGGTTAGGTTAGGTTCTCATCAAAATGTTCCATCAGATTTCAAATTGTCCTCAAACTCATTTATACAGCATTTGCAACCTAGTGGGTTGCTGTTACCTGGTGGGTTGCTGTAACATAGCAAGTTACTTGTAATCTATAAGGTTGCTGTAACCTAGCAGGTTGCTGTAACTTAGAAGGTTGCTGTAACCTAGAGGGCTACTCGTATGTTAACAGGTTGCCTTAGTGGGTTACTGTATCCTAGTGGGTTACATTCATGTAGTTTGTGTGTGCTCTTGTACTACTTAACTCAAGTGCTTGCTGTTGAACTGTGCATGATAGAGACGGATGGACTGTAGAGTGATAGGGCATTTGTATATGTACAACTATTGTTTTTACCATGATGTATGACAGTGGTATGAATAAATACATTTCAAGTAATGCTTTGTACTATCTTTTGTAGGTGTTCCTTCATTTATGACCTTGGCATTAGCCCTCCTGCCTTTTTATTAATTGATTTTCTTGATTTATACCAAAAATGATTGATTTTTTGGCCTTGCATGAAATTTTTTATTTATTTTTTCTTTTCATATAACCACAGGAAGCACATACAGTACATGTCTGTAAAGAGAAGGAAATGCAATCATTACTCTCATCTTGTTCATTTTATGTTGATTTATTTATGTATAGGGAAAGTGACCAGTACAGTACCAGAAAACCCAGAGTGCAAATTCCTAGTCATATGATGATTACTGCAAAAAATAGGTATTTTCATCAGTATTTTCCCTGTGTTCTTAACTTGTATCTCCCCAAATCACTGAATAAATTTAATATTCACGATGTATTGCAAACAATCATTGTTAATAATTTACAAAAGTTACATGGTCGTTATTATTTTCTTAATTAAACCGTTTGTATTTTGATATGGTTATACTACGGTGATTCTTTTTATGTGAGAAACCGAGACAACCCTTGTACTGTATTGTACTGTACAACAAAATAGAGCTTCACTATCACTTAACTTGGTTATTTTGATTGAAAAGAATTTCACTTGTTTTTCTTTTGTAAAGAATTACATATAAGAAGAAAACTGATGTTTATGAGATTTTAGATCTAGAATTTGTATTTGTCTAATTTTGGTTTAAGTTTTAACGATGATGGTTACAACTGAAGCAGAGGTGAATTATCCGCTTAATAATGTCATTAAAAAAAAAAACATTTAGGAAACACAGTAACAAAAATATTTTTAGTTTTGAAATTATTGCATATTTTTTATTTAGATTTTCAGTTTGTTATGTATGATGGTAGATAACTTAGAGTTTTAGTGTTGAACTTAAGGGACATTACTATTTCCCTTCTTGATTTATTTTTGGTATTGTTTGTTAGACTTGAAGGCATAGTACTATACTCTCTCTCTCAATACTGAACTGTACTGTATGGTTTATACTTGAACACTCCCACTATATGATCTTCACTCTGTGTCTTCCTTGCTGGTCTATAGGTTTATTTCTGGTAACTTTTTTTTTACACCAACAGCACTTTTTTACCCTAACTGCTCTGTCTTTCACTTCCTAGCATTGCCATTCACCATTGTACTAATACTTGTCATTCATCATTGTACTAACACTTGTCATTCACCAGTGTACTAATACTTGTCATTCATCATTGTACTAACACTTGTCATTCACCAGTGTACTACCTGGTAACACTTGTCATTCATCATCATATCAACTCTTATTTGTTCACCATTGTAGCAACTCGTCATTCACCGTATTATCAACTTTCAGTGACCATTGTATCAACTCTTTCTCTCACCATTTTATCAACCATTTGTCATTCATTATTGTATCAACTGGCAAACACACTTTAGTCATGTCCTGTCATTTGCCAATGTATGAACTCTATCATTGTTCTGAGGAGACATAATATATCATCTTAATGCATGTGTTTTAAACAAATTATATAAATAATGAATATTGCTGATATAATTGAAAAATTAATGTACCACTTAGCTGACCCCTCCATTAAAGCTGCACCTAAGCTTGACCTGCATTAACTTGTTAAGCTTTAAAAGCCACCTTAAACAAGTATAGCACCCTTATGCTTACTTAATGTTGACAATGTGATCTTCATCTTTAACGCCGTCTTCAGCTTGACTCAAGGCTGAACTTAAAGAACTTATTATTTAACATTTAATTTCAACATCATTGCAATCAATACTCAGACCCACTAGCAGCTGCCTCTGATACAGGACCACTTATGTACAGTGTGTGTGTATAAATAATGCCCTTTTTATAACAAAACAGCCTTAAATAATATTAATATTTGTGTATATATCAGTGCTACTTCCAGTATCATTTTAGTATTTGTACTAAATGAATTTCCTTACATTGCAAGTATATACAGTAATGTAGATGAATTTTATCAGCCTTTGTACACATATATATAACTCCTTTGCGATATTAATTTCAGTAATATTCTGTAACTTGTTTTATCTAATTGATCATCATTATATTTCCTTAATTTTGTGTACAGTACATGTCTCATCTTGTACATTTTTCTGCCAATATCTTGTTTGTGTTGTTACTTCTCCAAGCATTATCACTCACTTCATCCATCCATCCTAATCAAAAAACACTTTTTCAGTACTATTCAGTTTACTGTACCTTTATTGTTTTATGCTTTTGTCTCTTCAGCTGGAGTGTAGTATTATCACTTGTTCATATCATAACTCAGTCCAACTAGTGTGTCAGCCTCTGAACTTCAGCTTCTCCATCTGCTGTCAAGGTTAATCCTCTTTTAATTTCACATTTCTGGACATTTTATGCCTTATCATTATAGTCTGTCAAGTTTATCAGTCACCCATTGTTGTCATGATTCAGTCAACTTTTACTTTCTCATTTTTCATCATAGTTTAGTAATTACTTTTTATCTTCACTACAATTCTCAGATTTTTTCAAAACAGAGAACCACTTAATTTCAAAGGTGTTCTTGACACTGATTCACTACTGTGGAATGGGCAAGAGCTATATATATTTATTTATTATGAGTGATTAAATTTTAAGTCATGTTGATTATCAAGAAGCTGGAACGATGGCACAATTTGCCTGACAAAGTGACTTCTCAGTGGGGAATTATATATGTTACATATGTGAAGGTAAGTCACGAGTTAAGATTTTGTTTATGTGTTGGCCTTTACAATTGTGTTGCTCTGATGCACAGTGAATTACTCACATTATTACCACTGAAAATTGTTAGACATTGTTTTGATTTACCAAAGTGACCGTTAAAGACATCATTCAGTTCTTTCTGTGATATATATACTGTACACTATTATCAAACTCTCTTGAATGGAAAATAGGCATTCATTTACAGTTTTTTAATTACTTATTTTAGGTAAATAAAATATTGTTTTTGGCTAACCAACTGCTTTAGGTCAATTTTTACAAGAAAACTTGTTTTTGGATCAACAAGTATATTTTTCTATATGCAATAACAGAGAAATGAGAAGGATATCTTGGGGACTTGTTGTAATCATAGCAGGACACATTTGTTACAATAGTTGGAGAGAAAGAATGACACTTAATTGAGTTAGAGGGAGTGTTCCCCTTTATTCTGGCTACCCAATACCCTAGCAAATGGTTTGTAAGGTAGGAAAAGAACCTTTCAACTGATTGGTTGAAACAAGTGCATTATACCTCAAGCTACTGAAGTAAAAACATTCTTCCTGGAGTGAAACAAAATGGTCTCTTAA